AAAGAGCTCAACAAAAGAGGGGAAAAAAGAAACGTGAAAAGAAAAAGGGAAAAAAGAAAAGCCATGAACGCGGGAAACGCATGGGGTGGCCAACACAGCCGCATGCAGCACGCTTCGCCCGGCGGATTTGCCTGCACGTTCGTTAGTCAACAGCCAGGACAGCCGTTAGTCAACCCAACACAAATGCGTTGCAATGTCTTTTTCTTTTTAGTTTTTAGTGTTTCCCTTCCGTTGGATTTTGACTTCTTCTTCTTTATATTTATCTTTCGCGTCTTCGGAATCCTTCCACACCGTACTGTTCTTGAACTGCATGGCTTCATTTTCCACGCTTGCAAGTTGCAACTGGCGAGTCTAGCTACCAATCGCAATTTTTGAGACCCTAAATCATCGTATTATTAATTACGACTTGCGAGGATAAACTATCTTAATAATATCATACTACAACCAGAAACCAACTCATAACACTGTTCTACGATACATAATAATCACACATGAAAACACTAACGGCGTTGCGAAATTTGTACATTAAGTTCCCTTATTGTAAATTTCTTTCCTTGTGTGTTCGAGAACAAGGCGGTAGTGAATTGAATCCCCAAAATGACCAACCAAGTATACATATATAAAAGTGAATCATACTAATTTATTTCAAAATGAAGTGAATGACGAACGATAACCATAAACAATTCTGGACGTTCTGCCAACGAAATATTGACAATTGACATTTGGTATTAATTAAAGTTGGATACAGACTGTGTCCCCATAACTGATCCAAGCGGTTACCCTTCGTTCGTTGGAAAACAACAATTAATTTAGGTAGCACTTATTTCCAGCAGTACGTTTATCATGGAACATGGGACTTAAATATTGATAGCCTGAAGAAAAAACCTGAAGAGGAGACGTAACAAATTAACTTCGGACATCCAATTATAATATAGAGTACCTAGGTTACATCTAAGATGGATACCCCGTGCCTAAAAAACAGATAAAAAAAATTTAAATTTTTAATTTTCAAATATCTCTTCTAATTTTCAGCCATCATTAATTATATCCATCCAAATTTTCCTATTCTAATTCAAGGACGTCTCAAACTAAAAAATCTAAAAAATAAAATATTCTCTACAACGATTTGGCATCAAAACCTCTCGTCAGTGGTATTTTGAAGACAGAATCCGATTTTGCATCAAATCCGGTGAGTTTAATTGCAATATATGCTGCTGAATATGAGAATTACGGTAAGATTTAAAATTATTCATCTGTTTTGTGTTTTGTCTGATGAATTTTGTTTGAAATTCTCAAAATCTTTGATTGCTAATTTCGAATTGCTAGTTCCAACCTGTTCGATGAATTATCTGAGGTTTATAGATTTAGATCTCTTGCAAAAAAGAACAAAATTCAGATTTTGTGAATCGCCAGAGGTTTATGATTAGGTTTTAATCCCTTTAACAATTGGTGTTTTTTTTTTATTGAGTTATGTAGATATAAAGCATGTGTATTCAATTATACATTTTTGTTCATCAATTTTTAAGTTTTCTTCATCGTTCTGTTATTGGTTTTGGAAAAAATTAATAGATCTCACATTATTCATTAGTTCGTATTCGTTATTCATGCTTGAAACTACCAGATTCATCATAATAATTGTGTTATTAACTAGTATTTATATTTAATTTTTTGGTTATGTTATTTATATCTAAGGCGTCTGCATTCGATTATAAATGATTGTTCACCAATTTGTTAGATTTGTTCATCCATTGGTTGTTGATTTTGGAAGGGTTCCAGATCTGTTCATTATTCAGCAGTTACCATGCTATTAATCATCGATAATAAAGGGCTATTCATCATGATAATTGTATTATGCGATTGTTATTCTTTTTTCTGTTAATTGTTATTCATCTGAGTGGTCAAATAAAACATGTATATTTTGGTCATTTTCATCCGTAATATTTTGTTATTCATCTATTTGTATGTTTAACGTATTGTTCGAATGACCTACGCATATACATAAATATAGTTATTTATCATTAAAACTATAAGTATTCCTCGTAACAAATTTATGATCCTAATACACTACATTTTCTGATTTTAATAAGTAAAACATGATAATTCATCATACCTGTCAAGCTATTCATCATTGGTGAAATAGTTATTCATTTAGTCTGTAATGGTTATTCATCATATCAACCTGACATATTATATAGTTTTAATGGTTATTCATCATTTTAAAGATGATTATCATCTTCTTTTTAAAAAAAAAAAATTAAATAAAAACACACACTCGATGAAAATGGCAAAAAAGGAAGGAGGGGTACAACACAAGGACTTCCCAGGGGGTCATCCATCCTAGTACTACTCTCACCCAAGCACGCTTAACTTCGGAGTTCTGATGGGATCCGGTGCATTAGTGCGGGTATGATCGTACCCTGATTATCATGTTCAATAGCCTTGTTATTGATGATTAACATAGTTTTGATTAAATGGGAAATCCCACATATTGTAATGTTGTTTTTATTTGATCAGCGACAAAAAAAAATACTCATCAAAATGAACTCGATCGGTCGCGAATCAAATATTTGGCAGAGTTGCTGAAATCAAACAATCAACACAAATGTATCGAGTATCGGCAGATCTTTCAAGACCTTATATGTTAAAAACATTGACTAGTTTTCCTGTTCAATTTTGATTTAGTATACTACATAATTAGAATTTTGTTAGCTTAGTTACTGACATTGTCTCATTGTAAAATATACTTTTGTTTGTTTACTTGATCAAAATTATTCATTTTGTTGCGCATTATTTATCCACTAACAATATTTTATTCATTTATTAAAATACCATCATTCATCTTGCAAAAACTACATATATTCTTATTTTAGTATTGTTATTCATCTAGGATAGGATCATTATTCATCAAGATTTGCATCGTTATTCATCTTTGTGAATATTGTTACTCATTCATAAATTTACTCGTACACATATCCAGTTTTATCAAAAATAAAATCTATCATTTAACAAAAAAAAAATCTTATGAAATAAAATAATATAAAAGCTAGTAGGATAACATTACAAAAAGTCAGATTGAAATTAAACGTGCGCTAAAAAGGGGGATAAAATTTGGAGAATTTAATGCGCGTGTGGTGTCTTAAAATCTGGACTAAAAATTCTACTTGTGTAACGAAGAATGTATTACACATAACTATGAGATACAACTTGAAAAGTGTAAGGAGGTGCTTGTTATTATTTGCTGTAATCCCCTTATTACAACAGTCTATACATTGCAGCAGGCCCTTCACAACCATTAAATAATAGAAAAAACAGAAATCATTCACTCAATTGATTGTGACGAAGCAAAACCGTCTAGTTAGTCATAACAGTAATTTTGGTCACAGACTTATAATAATCAAAATAAATAAATAAAGCCGTCCAATTAGATATAACCAAAAAATAAAACGAAAGATTTTTTTTATTTTTTTTTTGACTGACTAGAATGGAGAAATATGAGGACAAGCTAATACTTAAGTCTTCTTCTGGGGTTTATTGGGACTACTAATTGTCGGGAATGATGGCGTTTTTCTTTTCTCATTGTGTGTGGTTTATTGTGTTAATTATTTAAAAAAATAAAAATAAAAAAGGACCCAATGACAACTGTCGGTCTGCCTTACTTTAGAGGTTTTTTTTTGACCACCTTTAACCAATTAGACAAGTTATTTTAAATTAAATTTTCGCTTAATTAAATAACGTGTTGAGGATTTGGAATGAGCAGTACTAGTTGTGGGAGATTTTGGGACCAAGGTTTTGGTCAACTCTCGAGGTGCAACATGACAAACCGTGAGCGTGTAATACCAGCCTTGAGGAATCATCGATCCTTGTTTCTAAACTACAAAACCAAATGTCCAATTTGCACAAAGACAAATGAGGATCAGGATCCAAATTAATTAAATACTGACTTTATTAATCAACAAAATACATATCACAAGTACAGATTACTCTACTCAAAGCCCTATTTTAATTTTGTCCTTTTCCACTTTGTAACGCTAGCCTGTAAGTGTACTGTGGACGTGGAAAATACCTCAAAACTCACATCCAAGATGATCAACAACATTTCATACTTTTGGCCAATTATTCTACCATCCAGACATGTACGTACAACTGAGGAAGAAAAAATTAGTCACTTTTGTTGATAATAGACACCCTCCCATATAGAGTTAAATAAAGATCAAATTGGTTGGATAAGTAGTTTTTTACATCATTTTTTAGAGTTGCTTAATTTTGATTAAAACGAGTATAATAACGAGAAACTCGCTAATCAAAAAATAGATCTTTAAAAATATTAAAGTAAAGGTTCATAACTTCCTTTAAAAAAAAAAAAACAATGAAAAGAAAAAAGTAGAACAATTTGTGCTTTTTTTATTAAAAAAAATAAAAATAAAAGGAGAAATAAATATGAAGTCTCCTCTGTGGTTATCAAGTCTTCGCGGTTGGGAAATTGAAAAGGGAGATTGCATATTGACGAGGGAATTATATATGAAGGGATAAATGGATCATCATCTCTAAGAAATGGTAACTAGAACTCGTTGATTGAGAAGTATATAGTACTAAATCACAATCAAATAAGAAAGTGGAGCTGCGCATTGAGAAGGATCGGGCAGCAACATTTGAAAAATATCATCCCCTCGATCCTTGCTTTGTTTCCATTTTCACAACTCCAATACCAGGTACAATTGTAAGACCAGATGAACTGTGCTTTTACATTTGAGGTGAAAAAAAGTAAAAAAAAAAAAAGAAAAATTCACTAATAAAGGACCTATCAATTTTCTTGCTTCCATATACGTGACGTTTCCAAAGTTGATGGAAGCCGGTTGTTTAAAATTAGTATTTGACTCCAAATTTCTTGTCGGCAATGACTACCGAAGTTGTTTAGAACTCTCTAATATACAATGTACACTGTGAAAATGACGAGAGGTAAGAAAAATCATACCAAAAAAAGAAATTAAAGTCAATAATTTGAATGAATAATAGTAGTAATTTGGTAGTACTTCTCACTAATAACTCAATAAAATTCAAAGAAGGTTAAAGAAAACTAGTGGCTAAAGGTATTTACAATGATCTTTCTTTTCCTACTTAATTCTATTAACCTAATTTAGCTTTATATCTAATTTAATTACTTACCATCTATCCACTCCGGCAAACCACAATCAAATCTATAACCACAACCCAACAACCAAAACAGCCTTTTACTTCGTCCTCCAATGGTTTTCTTTTTCTTCTTCTTCTTTATGATCTTAACATCCACGTTCAAATTCTGCCTCTTCCTCTTTTTGAGTCTGTCGTTGTCACACATGATGGAAGAAAGGAACAATTAGGAAGACATTGGAAATGTGGCCCCCCCAATACTTCCATCCAACTTCCTCAATGTGCAATGTTTGTCTACCTATCCAACCAAACTCAAACCAACTATAACACCTAGTCACCTACTACTTACTGCTGTCCAACACCAACACCAAATAAGTACCAAATTTCTATTTTTCCTAATATGTACACGTGCCTCCCAACAGATGCCATCTCAATCCCATCCCTAGGCCTTATTGGGGGGAGTTTGTTGAAATCGGAAGCAAAGTAGTATATTTGTTTGCCAACTGGGGAGGATTTGATTCCGGGGAAGGCGGTTTTCTGGGTCTTTAATCATCATCATCGCGGTTTGAGTGTAATGCAATGTCTTGAGTTTAAGAATAGGATCTAATCCACCCAAGACTGCACAGATTCCGCCTAACCAAGCTTCCGAGGGATAACAACATGGCCCCACCAACACCCCCCGAGTGTTGATTCTTTTCTTCATCTTCGGCCTTTTTGTGATAGATCGAAGGCAATTCCTTCACTTTCAAGTTATTCAACCCAATCTTTTGCCGAACACTTTCGATGATCTTGGAATCGGCAAGATTCCCAGCTCCATCCGTGACATAGAATACGTTGAGAACCGAATCTCTTGTTGTGGAGATCTCTGCCCTTGTCACGTTTAGCCCGTTTTCTCGGAAGGTTCGTGTCACCTCGGCCAGTAGCCCTGATCTGTCCGCAGCACTAAGTTCTAACCGTACACCCTGTGAATCCAAAATCAATTAAAAACAAGAACTCAGCATCTTTACCATACTCACAAGGTATTCATGACAATTAATATTCAATTCACCAAGAGAATATTTTGCCTTATTTATTCCTTTCACATGGTTATTACATATTAACACAAACAATGTACCTGCGATGCCCTTCTTTCGATTGAAGCTTGTAGACACAGAATCACTCGTTGCTTTTCGGCTTCTGAACTGATTGGGGTTCCATCTGTATGTTTCATGAAGAATTCCTGCAAAAAAGATTCATCCCGATTAAGTATATTTGATAACTTGAAGTGGCTGAATTAAAACACAACAAAACAATAGAAGAGAAAATCTATTTACCAAATATGCTCTGTCAGCAGCAGTGTTCACTGTGGCATGGAACACAACATATTGCATATCTGTCAATGTGCAGACAACGTCAAAGAGAAGCTTCGTTCGATCCTTGCACTGAATATTTACAACAGAATAGCCCCTCTCCAAACAGTTCTGAACTAGAACAACCGGCGATTCGCCACTGGTCCTGATTATCGGCTTCCTTTCGTAATCCCTATCGGCAAACATCATCTGATGAAGTCTCCTTTCTGTATGAGTAACACCCAAAGAAATGGACGTTTTCGCGCTCCTTATATCGTTGTCACCCTTCAAAACATTCCTTAACCGGGCTTCAATTCGATCGATTTTCTGAGAATCCTCAATCGGTGTGCCTGAATCGCAGTCCTTAACGTATATCAGTGACGCGATTCGGCCATTATGTGTCCATACTTTTGATTCCACCACATTACAGTGCAAATCAGATAGCACCGCAAACACCTCGGATAGAAGGCCGACTCGATCAGTTCCGGTTAGCTCAAGTGCCGTTAGGCCATCCATAGATGGTGATCTTGCATAATGAATCGTCTCCAGTGACTGTAATTTTCACATACATACTCCACATTAGTGAAACAAACCATTAATTACAGAACATTTCTAAATGTCAAAGGAAAACAGAGGAAAACTAGCTAATAGCCTAATAGCTACTACCTTAGTAATAAATGGAAATAAACATATAGTATTATTAACCAAACTAATTAAAAATTACCTGTTCAATGTAATTGATGACACTCTCGTCCGTTAATTTGTTGCCGTTTAAATCGGTAACGTGGAAAACTGCAAATAAAGAAACGAAACAGCAACAACATCAGCATAACGAAATTAACGTTCGCCAAAGAGAATTAACGCGGGTCAAACGGACGACAGATTCGGAAAACTGAAAAAAAAAAAAAAAAAATTAAGGGAAAAGTTTTTAATTAGCTCACCGTCCATGAACCACCGTCCATCGGACGAAATGTAAGCCTTTTTGATGGAGAGGTTCAGATCCGTCAAAACTTGAACGGCTTCCAAGAGAATACCGTGTTTCCTTGCGCTGTCGATCTGGTCAGAAACATAATAATTAATTTATGTTTCCATCTTTTGGAAGAAAGAAAACATGGAATTATTCAGTCAAACTATGAAAAGGGCTTTAAGCTGGAGTTTTTACCATAACGCGTGTAGCATTAGCACAGACGGCATTGTCAATCATGACCCTGAAGAATGAGCAAAGAAAAATCAAGTCAGAAAATAGTTAGGACCGAATGACCCTCTATTGAAAATTCAAAATTTGAAACTATGGAGAGTAACTTGTTCAAAATATTTTGAAATAAAATAAATAATAAGGATTTTTTTTCCCTTTTTCTTTGGGTTTGGTTCTGGAAAGTCACACAAGAGTGGGAAGAATGAATGAGTAACTTCAAAGTTGTAAAAGAAACAGTGGACCTGTGAGAAGTAATTTGACACAGGATGTCATAATTTTCTTCACAAGAAAAGAAGTATTCAACATTTTAATGTCCAAAATCACGGACATATTGGGAGGATAATAATTCGAAAAAGAGGGGAATTTGCAGAGATCTCCGGTGTGATTCTGAAAACTCTTTCTTGCCCAAAATAAAAGGTTGAAAGGAAGGAGGAAACAAGAACAGAGGGATCCATCAAACAAATTATCGGGAAAAAAAGTTTCTCGGTGACAAACCAAAATTTGACAAGAAAGATGAATCGGACCCCAAAAGGAACGCCCGAATTGCTATTTCCTTCTCCGAAGAGCCGAGAGAGAGGGGGAAGGGAAACAGAGACGGAGGAAGAAGTGAACTACCTGGGAGTAGTCATACGAATCACCAGCTTCTCATATTCATCTAAATACGAAGGCCACTCCATGTTTTAAAAATTCCAACAAAACTCCTTCAATTCTACACCTTTTCTTCAAACAAATTCAAACCCAGTGAAGAGTAAGGCCACCAAACACCGACCAATTGAAAGAAATGCCCAAAATTCTTCTTCTTTTGTGTGAATATATATACAAACACACAGTCACACACTGCTTTCCCTTTTAGCCTTCCCTCCTTGTAAGTTTATACGTCTTCCCCTTTGTGCCTTTTGTGTTGTTGTGTGGCTCCGTAATGTATGCTGATCTTTTTTTTCTTTTGTCTCTCTACAAAATCTGCTTTCTCTCTCTATCTCTCTATCTTTTCTTTCTTTCTCTCTCTAACACCGCAAAGCACGCTTCGTGCTAATGTGTGCTTTCCCATGTTTCTTCACTTGACTCTCTCCATCCCCTATTTATATCTCCCCCTTTTAATGTAGTTTCTTTATTTATTTATTTTTTTCCTTTTTCATAATTTTGTGGATTAATTTTTTAAAAAAAAATAAGTGACCACGCCTCTAAGTAAAGGGAGAGGGAGTGTCACATGCGAGACTCGTGCTATGCCCGGGGGGAGAGCTGCCCGACCTGCCCGGGGACCCTTTTCTTTGCTGTGTGAATTAAGTCAACTGGGAATAAGTGACACAGTGACAGGTGGCTTGTGATCCAACGTTGTGGGAGTCCAGGTTGGAGTGCCACGTAGGCCTTTTTGTGCTTTGCGTGCATTCGACTCAATCACTCAATAGGGATTAGGGGAGGAGTAGGGTTGGGGATTTGTGGGGAGGGTTTTGGAGAGAAAAAAGATAAGAATTAAGAAGAGAATAGAAGAGAAGAGATTCACAGCACAATCAAATCAACCCATCCTTTACAAAAAATAAAATTTATAAAGGAATCAACTCATATATTCTCTTCATCAACGGTTTGGGGATTATTGCACGTGCCTTTTAGTGGTAAAAATTACTACTATATTAATGAAAAAATTTTGGTAGATTCCATGGTAAACAGTTGCCAAATCTTACAAAAATTCGTTCCAAAATAATTATTCAGATTTTTAATATAACAAATATTACAATTTTTTTTTTGAAATATATGAAATGTTATTTAATCCCCCTCTTTTTGGCAAAATTTTGTTATGAGCTATCAATTTGATTAGATTATAGAAAATATAATTCAAGAGAGGGACAATAAAAACTCATATATTTACCATGGGCATTTTCATCATGAGGATGTTATAGTTATACACTCTTTCTAAATTTATTCAACAAAATTGTTATTAGGAGTTAAGAGTTTGAATATTCAGTTACAAGTAACCTCAAACACACTATACGGGTGAATAATCTTGTTCATTTCTTTGAGATGTAGACTTATATTAATCTTTACCAACTTTTTTGTTGTAAAGAAAAATAGCGTTTATTTCCCCTATAAAGGTACATACGTGCATTTTCATTTTATTTAAAAGACTAATTACAGGTCTTTCCCTAGTGTGTTGTTACCTCGTTCCTAAATCGCCATCGTCATTTAAAATTTTTGTTTTTTTTGAAAAAACAGAAAGCGCAAGCGAAAACTTGTGCATACTTATAGAAAACTTATTTAGGTACTTGTTTGGATTTGGGAATACTTACTTCAAACCAGTTCCATAAATTTTGGAGTATTTGGAAAAGATAAGACAAACCGAAATCAATCAAACAACAACAACAATAACATTGATCCTATCGCTAAATCCATCGCTATGCTTAAGAGATTCGTAAATTAAAAGGGAATATTCACCCCACAAAAACCCCCCAAAAAAGAAAAAAGAAAAAAAAAGAGATCGATCAAGTGGAGTCTAAGATAAAAATTGGATCAAATGATTCCGAAATAGATTTTTTCCTTTTTCTTTTTTAACAAAAAAGTTGAAAGAATGAATAATTTTGGGCGGTAAAGAAATCAATATCAATTTAGAATTTTAGAGAGTGAGAGATGGCTTGCAAATTAAGTCGAGATCTGCCGACTCTTATTATGACCTCTCCACACGTGACCACACCGCCTTAATTACTCTGGATCGGCTTTTCTGTTGTCTCAGATCTATTCGGCCGGTTTTTTTTTTTTTTTTGTCTTGTATTCCATTAAACTTTGATCATTGCTCTCACTTATAACGGTCACCCTACCCTATTCCTTTAGGGTGATTAACTTAATTATCTTTTCAGCTATAGTTTAGTTGGCCATAATGAGATTGATCATTGTGTTTTGGTGAGAGTTTAATTATCCAACACATTTCTTCTCATTGTACCATAAAAGGTTATATAATATCACTTGGAATATATATAAGCAACGTAGTATGAAGTTGGAAAATTTTGAAATATATAATAGTATCACTTGGTTTACCAAGTCAGGATTCAACGTTTGGAATCTTAATTAAGTCTGTCTATTACACTATCACCCAAAGGAAAGTGAATAACAAGGTATAAAGTATAAACTGGGGCACTTTTGAATTGATATATGATTCTCAACTTACAAAGAACTGTGTAATGTTAATCGACTGGCATGAGAATATACACTGGCCAATAGCTCACTACAAGACTGCAAGCTCGTTCCAGTTCATACAATTCATTCCTCTGTTTTATGTGCTTCCAAGGTGATAATGACTACGCCCATTCATTGTCCTTGATACTATACAAAATGATACACAACAAAATCCCTTTTTAAAGTCTTCAACCTTATTGAGTTCCTACATTTTCACATACGCTCGAGCGCAGTTATACTATTAAATCGTATTTTTTGGTTAAACAATTTTCTCTGTTGCAGGTATATTATTTTTAATGCGAGAAATGGAATAATAATAATAATTATGAGACGGGGGTTGTAATTAAGTTCGGAACTTGTATTATTGTTTTTGTCCCCAGGCGTACACTAGAAAGTTCTTAATCTCACGCGGGCTACTACTAATGCTGCCTAATAATCACGTAACTCCAACCCAAATCATGGCAAATAGTAAAACCCAGTACAAAAAACAAAAATAAAAACGAAAAAAAATCCAAATCTTTAGAATTGTTGACGTATCCATCATCACAACAATTAAGTGTTGATTTTTAATTGGCCAATACGCTCATCTCATGTGTTAGCTTTTACTTTTAGACATTTCTACTTACGGATAATTAGTACTTTTACTCATCAACAAGTTCAAAATGATGGGTCTAAAAAAGAAAAGAAAAAAAAAGAAAACCTTGGCTTGAAAACCAGCGGTAACTTCGGACGTGGAAAAACACAGGTAATTAACGACGGCGCCACCCCACCAAACCTGGGTCCCAATTTCGGGTTGTCCTGACAATCACGTGCATGACCCGCACAAAACACGTTCACCTCATTGGCTGGCTGCCCTGTCTCTCTACGTATTTCCTCCGAGACGTGGCACGATCTCAAGCTGTCTGTGAGTATCACGCCGTCTTCCGACAAGATCCAATGAAGTAAATCCAGTATTGTCAGCCGCAGGATCTTTACTCATATTCATTAGGATCTTGACAAGTGTGCACCGTTGAAATTCGACGACGTGCTGTGACGGTACTCGGGTTTTATTAACGGTAGTTGTGGCGGTTCAAACGTTAGTGATTGGCGGGAAAGAGGGATTGAGGTAATGGGGATGTTCCCGCCAGATCTGACGGTGGGGGCGTGGTCGTTCGTATTGATAGTGTCGGAGCGAGGAGTGGGTCCCGCCGGTGGTTGACGTGGATGCTACGTGGGGGCGAGTAACTCGAGGTAGGAAAAAGTGGATGCGGCCTTTTGCAGACACCAAGGGGCAAATATTGTACGAGGAGGATTGGGCGGGGAATTTGAAAGGGAGCGGGGTGGGACACGTGGATGACAGCTTTGGTTTTTGGCCCACTTGTTCCTTACCTTTTTCTTTCCAGATATTTTTTGTACGGTTTTTTTATTATTGGAATTACCCGCCACCAATTTGTAGCTCCTTTGGCTTCGAAGCATTTAAATTCTGGCGCCAAGGTTGGGAGGATTTTTACCGTGATGTTTTCCTTCCCCCCACGCGTCATGCTTTTTAACTATAGCTTTTCCTCTTTCATGAAAAAATTACTTTTCAAAATACCGAAAGAAAACCTTCTCCGTCACATCCGAACCAGCAGTACAGGAGTAGTACACTAATATCCATGAAAAAGAAAAGGCCTAATTTCAATCCCGATTTCTCAATGTGGGTTGTAGGGGAAAAGTTTTATAACGATAGAATTGTATTCAAACATCTCTTATACTAGGGTTGTGATGTTTGGTAGCAGGATTCGCTAACCTAGTATCCTTTGTTGTGATCAATCAATAAATTTATTTACGATTATGAGCAACGGAGAAAATATGGCGAATAATGCATTCACAATGCAATGGCGTTTACGAAATGGTAATGCAATGAAATGAATATCCATGTGCGGTTTAATTTGCTGCTGTTTTAAGAAAGGCATTAATGAGGTCCATAGCTCTAGGTTTAGTGGTTAGGATTGATATATAAACCATTTCCCTGTTTAAATAGTTCAGTTTAATTTATTATTTTAATTCGATAGAATGAATTATTATTAAAATAAGTTGTTCACAAAGTATTATTTTTCGAATCATAATTATTGTAGTGTATAAATTTTCGTTTTGAGTTTCGTATTAAAATAATCGTAGTAAAATTGAACCATCTATAAACAAGATAAGTATCTCAAGAGAGTAGCAAATAAAAAAATAAAAAAAAGAGTTGTAGTTGCTGGAAAAGATTTTGCGCATGAATGAGCCCGCAAAACTCTCCGCAAGACAATGTTGGCATGTTCTCTTGTTTTGCGACTTAAATTACGGACGGGAAGGGAAAATATGTTTTTCTCGCAAATCTCAGTTACTCCGTACGTTCTTAATTATTATGATTAGTACTACTACTCTACCACTATTAAACTCGATGATGATGCATGAATCATGTTAGTAGCTAATTAACACCGGCGACTACTCTGTAATCTATTCTATATATAGACTATATATTACAGCTCCAGACTTGCTAGTTACCTCTTAAATCGAAGTTAAATCTTGAGATTTGGACCAAATCGTATCCTATTTAATGATGTTTGACCACGAGTTCAAAGTCATTTGTCATGACTTATGCGTATGAATCAGAACCTGGACAAGTTAATTAATTAAAAGAGAAATTCGATATAATGGGAATGGACGACTTGTAAGTGCAATTTTTCCCAGATTTCATCAGCTAGCTGTTTCGAGACCAAAAAAATAATTAACGTCTAACACGTGAATTTTTCAATGTGCGAAAAGAATATTAAAATTTTTTAATGGGGGTGCAAATACCACAATAAATTAAACTTATTCGTTGGGAGTTCTAAACTCCTAATATTACATTTATATCTGATTAGCTTGTGGGTTAATGAGGTTGACCAAAATGTAACCCTTTTCTTTCTCCATTCCTCTTTTATTTTTTACTTCCATTTTCTTAATTCTTGATGAAAAGATAGCCAAAAAGAAGGA